CGACGCCGTGTGGTCCTCTTACGAATCATTCGTTGAATTCTTTATTGATCAAGTGGGGATTGCACCCACAATTTTCCATCTGGTTGACTGGAAGCGCGCGAGGCCGCTTAAGATGCCAGCCAAGCAGATCGGGGACTGGCACGCCGGTGATCCCGTGCATGAGCATGATGGGTACCTGGTGTTCCCCATGCGACATTGCAAGGAGCTCGATGCAGCTAGAAAAGTGGGTTCATGGAACCCAGTTCTCGTCCCTGTGGAACATAATGGCCCACGGGAACGTAGTGGCGTCGCCCGGCAACGCCGATGCGCCTACGGGCGTGTGGACCACGGTAAAACCCGTTTACCTCGAGGGATTCTACTCATGTGTCAGTCACATTGGGCTTGGCGTAACCGCCCGGCTATCCCTCTTGATCCGTCCTCTCGGCAGGAACGCTTCTGAAGTGTTGAAACGCACTGAGAAGGGGCCTGCCCACCAACGCGTGATTAGGCAGTTCCGTGTCCGCGTTGAAGCAATCGCTCTCAAAGAAGAGTCGGTTGAAGAAGGAACAGCAGCCGTATCAGGAAGCTTGCTTGCACCCAATCCGGCCACCCAGATATGGAATCCCATGCTTCAGGTAAACCCTCACTCATGGGAGGTTGGATGGCTCCGTCACGGCGCTACGCGCCCTGTGCTGGCCATCAGTGCGGAAACTCCCGCCGGGTCAGTGGCGCGTGAAACTTCGGTCAATCCGGCAAGGCCCGGTAGCGAAGTGGATTTCAAGTTTTTCCCCTAGGAGGTCCGTGAACTCGACGAGGTACGGTGCTTCCCGCTGAGGGAAATCTGGGAGCATTACGTTCCTGCATCGGAGGGGAAGTTTTTCCCGTTAGCCGGCGGCCTCCCTCTTTCCGAAGCTGCAAAGCTCATGTATCATGCGCCAAAGCGCGCTATGCTCGAGCTTGTTTGTGCGGCCACTCGATGCGAAGAATTCATGGACGCAATCAGCGGTAGCATCTACCCTGATCGTCCAGTTGACCAGCCATGTGACCTTGTACACGAAGGGTGGTTCACATGGGCTCCCCAGGTGAGCACATACATTCTCTCCATGATCTGGCCTGTCACCCCCCCAGTGGAGCTCCTAACACGGAGAGTCTGGGAGGAACATGACCCAACAGAGGTCACAAGCGAAGTGATTTTTGCGCGTTCCACCCTAATTGGGAGGGACGTGCCGTATAAGGTTTTCAAGCGCTGGGCGTTACGCGATCGTACTCCGATCGGGCCCTTGCGGCCAATGGATGCAGCGGAGGTCCCTTATACGGGATATGTGCTGCTTTCCATGCCTGAGTATAGATCTGCCCTCAAAACGAGGTGCATCCGACGTCCCGGCAAATTCGCCATTCAAGTCTTCCCTATGCGGCCTGACAAGATCTGCAGGGGGGAGATTCAGATCGGCATGGAAGGCGCAAAGGTGCCTTTCCTGAAACTGCCAAGCCCCAATACTGAGGGCGAGTTTTACGTCGATGAACGTGCCGCGTACATGGACAAGCGCCATGTTGTCGTGGCGATCGACCTGAAATGGTTGGCGACTGAGGGCGCCGCGGGCATATACAAAACCCGACGCGGTTTCATTGCCGTGCGTGAGGAGATTCACGCGCCTTTTTGGCGTGCATGTTACTTGCACCAGGAAGGGGATGTAATATACATCCGACCATGGGCGATCCGGACCTTGGTTGTCCCGGGTCCGCCGCAAGGGGTGTCATTCGCGTGTCCCATGCATGACTATTGGTGCCCTTGTTGTGCACATTTGAACATGTACGGCACCATTCTATGCAATGGTTGCCACTTGCCCATTTTCTATCGGGAGTGGGTGCCCGGGACTTCTCAGTCTCAGATCAGGCGTGGACAGCCAACGTGGGTGGACGGACTCAAAGCAGTCCTGCTCAACAGCTGGTACTACGTGGAAACGTGCAGCTGGGCCCCTCTGATGGCGTCGGTAAACCCGATCCGTGAGGTGGTCAGTTGCATGATCTCTGGTTTGCGCTGTGCGCCATACCTCGTACACAATCCCAATGCGGATATCGTACAGGTAGCGTTCCATGAGGTTGAGAAAGTCACCAACATGGACACTCACTCATGCGTGAGAACGAGTGATGAAGCGCTTGAAAGATGGGTGGCAAAGCAACTGCTCATCGAGGAGAGCGAAACTGGAAACCCAGTTCCTGATGGCCTGACAGTGCTGGCGTATTTGATCGACCACCCGCAACACGCGGCGCAGTGGGGACGCTACATGACAAGGAAAGGCAGTCTACAATCAGCATTTGCCTTTTATCTTTCTGTATATATTTACGATGCATACCGCATCGGTGTTGAGGACGGTTTCCTCGTCCCGCTGTACGGCCTAGGCGCCTCTCGGGAGGATGTGATCATGTCCATGGTCCAAGCCGAGCGACGCCTCGCGGACTTCACCAGCGAAGACGCTAATTTTGACATCACCGAGACCCTCAGGTTGAGCATTGACTCCCTGAGGGGCGGTGGTGGGACGATAACGGTCCCAATTGAGTATGCTGAAGCATACATCTACACCGACCTGAACAAGGTCGAGATGGTTCCTGCTGGGCAACGCGATGGCCAAAGCGCCATCACGTTTGCGGATCCTCCATCTGGGAAGCATCACAGGCGGGCGGCTACACCTCGGGGTGATAATCGCTCCGCTTTGATGCGACCGGATCAGAAAGGCAAGGGGGATACTAGGAAGGGGAATGGTGCTGCGGGCTCCTGGCCCAAAGGAGAGGGTCTTAAAGGGGGCCTGAATGCAGGCAAAGGTCACAAGGCTGACCAATTCAAGGGTCACAAAGGTGACCAACAGAAGGGCAAAGGCGGCCTATACGGCCAGCAGTACGGCCGTGGCGGATCCGCCCGGCCACAGGCGGCTATCAGCTTGACGCACGCGGCTCGGGATACAAGGGCGCACAAGCCGCCCCTTTTCCGTACCCAAGCCCCATGTGCCCCACATTCCCGACGGGGGGTTTCATGCAGCAGCGCATGGCTGGCATGATGCCGCAGATGTGGCCCGGCGCAATGCCGCAGGGTTGGTCGCAGTTTCCGCCGGAAAATCCTGGCGCCCATGTAAATCCTAATTCACCTCACACCCCAACTTGGGGTGATGATGATGAGTTGGCTGAAACCGAGCCTTCTCATCCACCACCCGGGGATTGGAACGTTGGGAAGGGAAGGGGACGACGCGGCGGCGGCAGAGGCAAATGATGCCCTTTCATGTTCTGCATGCGCTGAGTCGTACCCAAAAGTGCCAATGCGCACTTGCACATTTCGATGATCTCAGCGTAATTTCAACTATTGCATGATGACGCATATAGGACAATGCTCCTGACGTCGATCCACCAAACCAGTTATTCACCGAATCATAATTCGTATGCACGGGTGACCGTGCGCTAATCGCGACGGTCACATTGTCCTGCCAGGTACGCCCTGTTACCGCAAGGCAGTCATCCTCGCCGGCACCTTTGGCCGCTGGCGATTCACATCCTCCTGAACCGCTGATGCAGCTGGTGAAGGAACTCATCAAGCTGCTGGCGTGATGATCGCGATTGCGCTGCACCGCTGCCGGAGGTGTCCAACTCGGACCTAAACCGCTGACGGCTGCCGGTGCTACTCGTGCCGGCCGTCTTCGCGTGATCGCGCGCCTAGACGGTGCTATTTTTAAAGACCCAGGTCTTGTGGTCAAAGCACCATGTTTCAACCAGCAGGCCAAAGCGCCTAAATCTTGAATTCAGAAATTATATCCACTTGAATCTCATGATTCACTGTGGTTGCATTGCAATATCAATTTATTTCATGCCTGCCATATTGGAGTTGAACCTTTGTTCTTTTTCGTGTTTTGTTCTCTCCGGTTCGATTTGGCTACCGGCGCGAATCCGCCCCATGCCCGTAATTCGGGGTGGTGGCGGGATTCGGGCTCTAAAGCGAGCCCGGGCGTGGGGTTGCGAACCCTGGTAGCCTAATCCTCTTTCTTTCTTGTTTGTTGCTCTTCAACTTCAAATGGCCAATGCGCCTTTCCAAATTCACTCCATCTCTTTGTGCAGTCGAGGGGGGTGTTTTTGGGGGCATGTAGTTTTATCATAGCATGTTTCCATGCCACGGCCAATGCGCCGTTTGGCTCAAGCTTTTCACCGCGTCGGACTCCGCCGCCATAACGGCATCGGCTGCCTACGGCGCCGCTACTCATCTCGGTCGTGCAAAAGATCGGGCTAAGGTTCGCGGCGGTAGGCACGTTCTTTGGTTGTGGGTCGGTTGTTTTGGTGGTGTGCGCTCTGTTGCCGCTGCTCCGCTTTTGCTTGGTTAATTGCTTTGCTCGCTTGCTTGCTGCGCTCGCCTGGTTGGCTGTGCTGGTCCCCTTTCCTGTTTGGGTTTTGCGGTTAAACAGGATTCCCCGTTTGTTATCTGTGTGGTTCTTTGCCAGCCGAGGGCACCACTTTGCCCTTGGGACTGGGGGGCTTAAACTGTCTCTTCTTGTTGGTGGGTTAGGGCCTGTTTATTCTCTCCCGAAATACTGTTTCAAACCCTTTCGCAGAGGTGATGGAAAGTTTTCCGCATGTGAAGAGGAAGTGCTGTGGCTGGCTTGAGAGTTGGCGTTTTCCATGCGTGTGCTTGTGTTTGGCAGCGTGATGCAAAATTGCCTCTTTCTACACTTCTGTTTGCTGATGCACGCACAAATGTAGGTTGCTGCAGTCTATACTGTTGCAGTGCTTGTTCGGGTGCTAGATGAACCGCAATCGTTGCATTTGCACCTATTTATATCAAGGGCTGCGAGTTGTCATAAGGAACCACCCCAAAAATCCCCAACGAACCCTGCTGTCCGCCACAGGCTTCCCAGATTTTTGTTTATACCTGAGTCAAGCCGCACCAACTGACGTAGGTCTTAACTTGTGCGTGGCAAAAGACGTGTCATGCCGTGTTTCGTTTCGGCGCCGCGTCGCGACCAGCGTCGGCTGCCTCTTGTTGCGAGGACTCCAAGGCCAAGAGGGAGGCGCTAGATAAAGTGGCCGGGGCGCCGAGAGACGGTGCCATGGTCCCACTGCCCTTTCCCTGGACTGGTGCAACGCCGGAGGTTTTCCTCATCTAGGTCCCCCAGGATCGCGCCCTTTCTCAGCCTTTTTTGGTTGGGAGGGTTCGGGACCCTACTAAAATAAACTCCAAGAAAAAGTTGGTACCCTTATTCTACCCTCTCTACTGGAGCTAGTCACAACCCTCGTCTGGACTCTCAGAACCCTGAAGAGAGTTCGCACAGAACGCGGTGGCAATCTCAACATGTAACCTTGGGTTCCCATGTTGTGGGTGCAAAAGGTAGAATCACCTTTCATTGGGTCCCGTGGGCCGTGAATTCTTGGCGAGTTTTAAGTGGTGGGATTGTGCCGAGGACGCTTGGTTGATTTGATCCAATCAACGATTTTGTTGGAGGGTAGTTGCAGTCCGGTGCCGGTCTGTGTAGGGGAAACAAGTCGCACAGGATGATTTGGCTCTTACCTTTTTCCCCTGAAGTATGAAGCTTTTGAACTGAGGTAGGTGCCTAAATCCGCTGCAATGTTCTAAGCCATCAACAGGAGCTGGGAAACATCAACATCATTGAGCACTGTGATAAGTGGCGCCCTGAAGACACCTTGCTTGGCTTCAATAACGATCAGCAGTCGCTACATTTGCTTTAGCACAAAGCGATGACATAAGGCGGAGGTACCTTTTTGGCCGCCCTGGATGTGCTTGACTTTGAGCCAGATGGTGTTTGAAGGAAAAGGGTAGAATTCCAATCAAGAAATAGCGACCGCACAATCTTTCACCCACTCAATTATTTCCGCCTGGGAAGCCTTGGAAATCCAGGGGAACTTCTATAAATAAGTGAATCTCTAGAACCTGAAACCAATGAACCAACCCATGGCCTCGTCAGCCCCTTTCGGTTGGAGTTGTGGCAGGACCACGGCTTGTCGGGGGCTGGCCACATAAGGCCCTTTTCGGATACAACCCCGCTCAAAAGTGCGGGATAACCGGGCCCGGTTGAGGTTCAAGTCCATCCATGTTGAACGTTTAGTCATTGAGTTGGTTTAGACACCTTTTGCTCAGCCCCAAGGCGAAAAGGGCACAAAAAAGCTGGCTTCCCAGGAGTGGCACCAAAAGGTGACCACCTTTGTTTGGGTCTTCTGGGCAACTGAGTTTGGGTTACCCTCCCGCCAATCAACATGGAACCTGACGTGCAACCAGGACCCCCCAAACGTCAGGTTCCACGTGAAAAAGGTGGGAGTGTACCGTGTGGGCATTCTGCAAACAACCCAAAAGCGCCTTAGGTGCTCTTGGCCCACAGCTCTCAGAGCCTCGCAACTGCCTTGGCGCCCAACGTGGAAGCAGGCGGCGCCGGCGATCCGGGCATGTACACACGTATAATATATATATATATATACACTAGAAAGTATTTGCTTTGTTTTGTGTGGGCCTGGTTGAGGGTGTCAGACTAAAAACAAGTCGAAGCAGGGAAAGTAAAGTCACACGGCTGAAGTAGAGCAATGTTGCCCCTGCCTGATTGCTTGCGAACTGGGGGAGGTTGGCTTTCAGGGACAGCAAGAACTTGTTATGACGTAAACCGCCCAAAAAGTGCCCTTGAATCTTCTCCCTTAAGCCTAAAGAAGCCCACCCGGCGCTACCTTGCCACCGGCTCTGTGCTGTTTTAGATGTTCGCTATCATAAAGCCGCTCCCTGCTTTGCAGGCCCCAAAGGCCCGAAGAGCATGAGATTGACAAAAAAAACAAGGCATGATGCGGAAAGAAAGAATTCCTACCTCGACTGCTCAGCCGTATTGTGGATGGAACAAATCCGTTTTGCCAGCAGTTGGGATTGGTTGAACCCTTGGTGGTGTACCTTATAGGGTTCATCCATCCCAAGTGGTGCGAAATGGAACCCGTCCATCCACGGAATCATTCTTTCTTCACTTTGGCCGTTTTGTGCCCTCAGTGCCCTCTCTGGTCTCAGTATCTCCAGCCTCACTAGGAAAACCTTTGCAATTTGAAATCCATCGTCGCCTGCATCTACAAGACACTCCCCCCCCCCAATTTTCTTCTCGAATGAATTCGACAGGATGCAAGCTACAAATCTCTGGACACTGCGTGCTTCGACAAGATGCAAGCTACAACAGATCTCCGGACTCGTCCCACAAGCTGCTTAATTTGATGCAGACCATATGCTGCCTCATCGGACCATACACACGCACATGTTGTGTTTTTTTAGCACATGGGCCTGGGCAAGAGATTGGGGGGGGGGGGGCTGCTCACATATCCCCATGTCCTTAAGTTGCAAGCAATACTGACCGCGGCTCAAGTTTGTGCCGCACTGATTGGTTGCAAGCATGCCAGGCGTTCCAGTCTACGAGGGCTCCCTGAGATACAAGACGCTGGAGAGCCTCTTTGACTTGTGACCCTGGCATGCTTGCCGAGCGGACTGGCGCTTGCGTTGGGTTTCTTTAGGCATCCGTTGCACGGATTGCTTACTCGGACTTACGTCCGAGCATGTTGGTAGAAAAGTTGAGACTTTTTCTGGCCACCCAAGCGAGGCTACCATGCTCATGCTGGCAACTAGCTGGTATGGCTTCTACCGAGCTGGCTGACTGGGAGCTGTGTGCCAAGGCGGTCCTTTCAAAGGACAGCCGGTGGTTGCCAGTGGATCAAGGCAACTTTTCCAAATTTCACCATCGACCCAAAACAGCAAGCAAAACACACAGGGTGACGAGAGACAGGGCGTGGCCATCTCCAGGTGCGCACCAAACCTGCCCCTGTGGCTGGCGAGCAAAGTCAGCCCCAAGAAATTTCCAAAAAGAAGCAAGTCAGTTGGTTTTGCCCGCGAGCCTCATTTTTCCTGTTGAGGGCCAGGGAACACGACCGCAGAGGCGGAGACAAGCAAGTTGCTGGAAAGCGCAGGCTTGGGACTGTTAAACAGACACAGACAAGCGGGAGACACGACCCTGGAGCCGAGACAGGCGGAAAAGAGGACCCCGAAGCCAGCGACACACTGTCCCATTCTCCATACCTCAAGTTAGAACCCCAATGCTTCGCTGTTTGGGGAAAACACAAGGGGAAAAGGTGCACCCTTCATGGACAAGCCGCCTTCTCAAGATGATTTTCAAAAACTCGCCACGGACACACAGGCACAAAGTTGTCCCAAAGTCTGCAAAGCGGCTGTCCCAGTGGATCCAAGTCGCCTCTACATTTATATATATATATAGATATATATGTGGGTCCCCTTTTCCTCTTTCCCCCCTTTCCCTGTTCATATTCTTTCCCCCCTTTCCCCCCCAAGGCCCTTTCCCCCCGTAAGATCCTCTGCCTTTTCCTTCCTAAGATCTTTTGCCCCCTTTCCCTGTTGAGATCCTTTCCCCCCTTCCCCCCCCCCCCCCCAAGGCATTTCCCCCTCCTGAGATCTTCTCCCTTTTCCTCCCCAAGATCATTTCCCCCCTTTCCCTGTTGAGATCCTTCCCCCCTTCCCCCCCCAAGGCCTTTTCCCCCCTTGAGATCTTCTCCCTTTTCCGCTCTAAGATCTTTTCCCCCCTTTCCCTGTTGAGATCCTTCCCCCCCTTCCCCCCGAAGGCTTTTCCCCCTGAGATCTTCTCCCTTTCCTCCCTAGGATCTGTTGCCCCCTTTCCCTGTTGAGATCCTTTCCCCCTTCCCCCCCCCCCCCCCCCCCAAGGCATTTCCCCCCCTGAGGTCTTCTCCCTTTTCCTCCCTAAGATCTTTTCCCCCCTTTCCCTGTTGAGATCCTTCCCCCCCTTCCCCCCCCAAAGCCTTTTCCCCCCTTTCCCTGTTGAGATCCTTTCCCCCCTTCCCCCCCCGAAGGCCTTTTCCCCCCTGAGATCTTCTCCCTTTTCCTCCCTAAGATCTTTTCCCCCCTTTCCCTGTTGAGAGCCTTTCCCCCCTTTCCACCCTAAGGCCTTTCCCCCCCCCTGAGATTCTCTCCCTTTTCCTCGCTAAGATCTGTTCCCCCTTTTTCGGTTGAGATCCTTTTCCCCCCTTCCCCCTCCAAGGCCTTTTCCCCCCTGAGATCTTCTCCCTTTTCCTCCCTAAGATCTTTTCCCCCCTTTCCCTGTTTCCCCCCTTCCCCCCCCAAAGCCTTTTCCCCCCTTTCCCTGTTGAGATCCTTTCCCCCCTTCCCCCCCGAAGGCCTTTTCCCCCCTGAGATCTTCTCCCTTTTCCTCCCTAAGATCTTTTCCCCCCTTTCCCTGTTGAGAGCCTTTCCCCCCTTTCCACCCTAAGGCCTTTCCCCCCCCCTGAGATTCTCTCCCTTTTCCTCGCTAAGATCTGTTCCCCCTTTTTCGGTTGAGATCCTTTTCCCCCCTTCCCCCTCCAAGGCCTTTTCCCCCCTGAGATCTTCTCCCTTTTCCTCCCTAAGATCTTTTCCCCCCTTTCCCTGTTTCCCCCCTTCCCCCCCCAAGGCCTTTTCCCCCCTGAGATCGTCTCCCTTTTCCTCCCTAAGATCGTTTCCCCCCTTTCCCGGTTGAGATCCTTTCCCCCCTTTCCACCCTAAGGCCTTCTCCCTTTTCCTCCCTAAGATCTTTTGCCACCTTTTCCCCTCTAAGATCCTTCTCTCCCCCCAAGATCTGTTCTCTTTGCTCCCCCCAAGATCTTTGCCCCCTTTCCCTTTCCCTTGCCACCCTTCCCCTCTAAGATCTTTCCCCCCACCCTTCCTCCTTACAATATCTTTCTTCCACCCTTCACCTTCGAAGATGGTTTCCCCGCAAAGATCTTTTTCCCCCCTTCCTAAGATGCTTTCCCTCCTTCCCCCCCTTATAACATCATGCGCATCCTGCTGGCGATGTTGCCCAGGAGATGCTAAGGATGCAAAAACGAACCCAGAAGGATCAAACACCCCACTGTTTTTATGCAACTGTGTCCGCACAGCCCCCAGAAGAAAGGATTTAGTGGAACGTCTTGGAATCACCGCGAAACCATGCCCCTGGGGAGGGGTCAGGGGAGGGGTAACAAGTAAAGAGGTAAGGAGCATTTCTTATGTCCAACACGCCGTCTGTTGTCGACGGATATGTATATCTATATATATGTATCGCAGGAATCCAGCAATTTTCCTTTTGGTATTTCTTGGGTGGGGAGCCATTGGTTACCTACACAACCCTTGGTAAATGGATCCTCTCTTGTCACAAGTCTGATGCGCTGGGATCATCTCAGGTATTTGGACAACGCCGTGGAAGACATGCAGCAATCCACCGCCGCCATGTTCGGGTCGCTCATGGGCGGCGAGGCGCGGGGCGCTTGCGGCTTTCGGCAGCCGTTGGAGCAGATGGCCCTCAGTTTGCCACCAGAGGAAATTGGGGTACCTGGCGCGTAGGCGTCTCCGGCAGAGTTCTGTCACCCAAATGTATTGGGGTGACCACTGGGGAAAACCGCTAACAACATGATCATGTCCCACGCATGTTCATTTGCGGGCCTTAAATGGTACATGATCGACCCCCTCATCAGTCCTGTGTCCAATCAAGTTTCCGTCAGTCACTCGCCCCGCACGCAAACGACGCGGAACGAGACAGGGCCAGACACAGAGACACGTGGGATGAGTGGCCAATACCCATCGAAATTCGGTGAGCAAGGCCAAGCCAAAAAAAAAACCAGGCAAATCAAGACCTCAGGCGCCTGAAGTGGAACACACAAGTCGTATCCCACCGGTATCGATTTACAGACACACTAATGATGACGCCGGATGAAACAACTGTCCCCCTCCAAAAACTATACATGCCCAAACCAAGGGACACACCCTATTAATCCACTGTTTATTCATTTGGGTTTGTACCTGGAGTCTACCCCATGTGAGAGAGTGGTGCGTTCTTTGTGTTGTGGTCATGTTCTTGGTGTTTCTATTTGGAGTACAAGGTCAATGCAATCCCATGGCTAAGACGTCTGACTTTGATTGGATTCAACTACAACGGTGAACGTTGACTGTGGTTCACTGCATCTTGCAGGAGTTCAGAAGTCGTCACGGGCAAGCCTTTCGTGTGTTCGCAGCCTAGTGTCTTCGTGCTACTCTCAACTGGACCCCTCAAGTGTAAGTAAGGGATGCATCCGGTTGCAGACGCTCGCCTGCACTCTGAACAAGAGCTGCGCCAGAAACTCCGCAAAGAGGGCATGGTTCGGCGTACACACACGGGAACAAAAAGGCGGCCCGGAAGCCGGAAGCCTTGTTTGAAGAAAACTGGAGCTTCATCTTGAACACAGTAACCGCATGGGCTGAACATGTGTGACTAGATCCCAAGCCCCGATTCGTGTGGAACCACGTGCTTGAAATACCTCGGACTGCGCGCAGGATGCCTCCAACAAGACGGTGCGAAGCTTATTCCGGTTGCATTCTCGGGTGGTACGCTGGCTCTTAGACTTATTGACCACCGTTGGCTCCTGTCGTTGCACAATACTGGGGCACTAACGAGTCCAGAGGCCGCACAAATGTTTATAACCTTTTATTGCAAGGAAGAATCGCCTTAAGGTTCAAGAGGGTACTTGCCGACACATTTCAACTTTGGAAGCGGGTGACCCGCTGTCACTGGAGACATTTCCACGATTCCCATGTGAAGGGCGCAGCTTTTCCTAGCGAATTTGGTTCCTCTGGAATGTTTGAAGTGAACATAGCAAGTCCCCAAAATTTGTTGTGTCCTGTCTGTTATTGCTTTTTTGTTTTTGTTTGGGGGGAGGGTCCCTGAATTCACATTTTCGCAAGAATGGAAAGCGGACTCGCAACATCTGAGATGGCGGAGCTGACAGCCAGAGCGGAGCAAGCGGAGAAAGCCCAGAACACTTTGGCTGGCATCTTCAAGATATCTGAGGGCAAGGCACGCTTGAGACCTTGCTACACAGCCTAAAACATTCGGATGCCTTTCAACCCTCTACGTCATCATAGGGCAAACATGATACAGGTTCACCCATTGCAGGTACGGCATCTTGCGGCAAAAGGACATGTATGGATAATGGCATGATCAAATAGGCAATTCAGTTGGGAAAGAATCTGACGATGCCTGCATGCGGGCATAAGCTCCTCACATGCTCAGTCTGGATTAAGCAAAAGCCTGGGGTGGGGGTGGGGGTGGTTGCTCTTTGATCCACAATTTTGAGGAGGTCGGTATGTTTCAGAATGTCACTCCATTATTAAAATGACCCCAACAGCTTTTTTTTTGGTGACCTCAAATGGCGGCCATTTGGACAAAAAGCGAAAGGAGGCCACTTGGCTGAGTCCCAACAAACGAATCGAGGTCACTGAAAACAAGCTGGCAGATTGTCGTCCATGGGGCAGGCTCAAAAGCTTTTGGAGAGAAAGATGAAGGCAGCCACTGATCAAGCTCAAAAGGACTGCAGGGGGGGGGCAATGCGTTTGTAATGTTAAGGTTGACAAATAGGAATCAGAATCTGAACATATTGCTATACCCTTGCGTGGGCCCAGGATTGGGTGCTGCAAAACAAACCCTATGTTGCTCTGGGTTGCGCGGCGCAACGCCAAGATGTGTTGTGCTTGCCCACGTGGGTTTGTGCTCAGTACAGTGTTGCCCCTGCGGAAGGGACACGAGATTCCTTTTCCCTTCACTGGCAGATACATGTGCGTGGCTTGGAATATGTTTTGTTTTTTTCCTTTTTGCCAAGTTGCACAGGTGCGTGATCAGAGAGTCCATGGGCATTCCTCGGACTCACAGCTTTGTTGGTTTGGCATTGGCACCACCAACGTCTTGTTTGATTGAAACTCGCCCTGGTTTGCCCCCCCCCCCCAATAAAAAGCAAAGGGCATAGAATGCCCAATGAGGTGAATGCAACTTGATAATTTGATGTTCGGTTTGCAATATTGATTGTAGATTGCAAGTCAGAAGGGGGCTGATGTGATTGTCTCGTTTATCAGTAGGTCCACTCTCGAGACACTAGAGGAATAGTTTAATGCAACCCAGAGTTTCGAGGTGGGCAGTCCGCAGCTATAGGACGTGTGTGGTGTCCTGGGAAACGGGTCGTTCCGCTTGCAACGGGTCGCACGAATCAAGAGGTGCCGCACTTAGCGTGACTTGAAAGAGGCCACAAACGGTGGCTGCCTCGAAGTCTGCATTGCTCCACTTTCCATGTGCTATGCCTGGATCTTCGTTTTGAGATTTTGAGTTGAGTTCCATTTTGTTTGCTGTTCGCTCGCTTTCTTGCTTGTTTGCTTGTTTGTTTGTTTGCTAACAAGTGTTGCCACGGCCACGTTTGCTGTGAATATCCAAAGAACGCCACCGTGCTGAACCCATTTAATTTGCTTTATCCCTGGCGTCGCACTGAGCCACAAAGCGTGCCAAAGGCTTCCAGCGCAGGACATGATGTCGGGCTTGATGGGTGGCAACAGCTGAAGCATTTCGGGTATTGAGCGCGTGCGGCACGCGTGTGCTCCGATGTGGCCAGATGAATTGGCTTGGCCGAGGGGGCTCGCGGAGGTGAATCACGTGAGTGTATAAGGGGTGAACAAATCATGTGTTGTCCTTTGATCATGAGGTATGTTGGTTGAATCGTACCCCATAACCCCAGTCGAGTTGTTCCAAAGGCCCTCGTAGTAGCCATGTCTGAAAGACCTCTTTTGCAGATCTTGTCAGCTGCATTTTGAATCAGCGAGCCAACTCTAGCTGCGAATGAGTTTATCAGCTTAGGAAGCAGCCAGGTTTTAGCGTTTCTGTGGTGGATGCATCTGACAGATGCAGAAACTACTGGGTATTTGGTGGTAAGTCTGTCTTGGCTGAGAAGAAAAAAGCAAGTCTAGGAACACAGATATGTTGAAGCGGGCGGCAAAAAATCAGTTTGGAACCTGTGCACATGTTGACTCGCGCCCAGCTGGAAGTGTTGTGGCTCTATGATACCAACTCGCACTCACAACATAGATGGGTGTCTGACAGTACAGTTATGGCGGCCGTTGTGGTTACGTGTAGTTAGCCAGGGTTTGTACTGGAACATCTTCCATATGCTCTGACGGTACTGTACCACTAGGCATGGGACTGTTTCCCCACTTTGGGTGCAAGCCCAGCCACAACACAGCCAGTGCATGGCAACGTGCAATCTACAAAGGATGACCATACGATCCAACCAGGCGCTGATGAAATTGCACCCCTGACAGCTGTCAAAGATGTATGAATTCTTGGAATAGCTATGTTCGGTTTGAATACACATCGTTTGCAGAAATCGCGAGCTTGTTATGCTTCTGATTCGTACAGCAGTTCATTGAGTGGTTTTCGCCACAAATATCGGCTCCAGCTCGGAGGTTGCCACAGAGCCAGTCCGCTAGATGAGCGACATGTAAATGTTGGGGTTCCAAGAACCATTAAAACAACGGGGGCGCAGATAATTGCAATTTACCGTTCAGGGCGGTCGTCGTAATTGGGTCAACCATTCTTGTAATGGGGCTTCAAAATTTACACCTCCTTCAATGATAGGGTCCTCGATTGTAGAAAGTTCTTGTTCCCAATTCAGGATCCTCTGACTGTTTTGGGATCCTCTATTGTGGAAAGTTTTGTTACAGAGGCAACAAACAAATAATGAGACAGAGTGCCATCTGACATGGTCGCGATTTGGATAGGTGCCGAACAAGCCGCGCCACGATTCTCGGTGACCTTTGTTCCTGTCTAGACTTAGGATACATTTTACATGTTACCAGTGACTCAAAGTAAAGCAAACAATAAAATATCCATTCTATAACTGGGCCTAACTCTAATCATGAGTTCTTGTAGAGCTTGTTGAAGCCGCACTCTGGAAAGACAGACCAATATCCTGCCTGTTTATGCAAACCTTCTTTCACATAGTTGATGCTGTTCCAGAAATTCCGACATCGTGCTAAGCCTTTAATTGCGACTGTCACCCTGATCTAATTTCAGAAGCCAACATGTGAAGACCGATTCATTCCGCAATGGCAGCCCTGGAGAAAGCAGATGATACCGGACTCCGACCTGCGGGGGGAAGCGAGGTATGTGTCTTGTCTTATTGTGTTGTGGTTTGTAAAGGGACACCGAAAGGATAACCACCATTTTGGCGGCTCTTAAGGGAAAGACACACCCATATGATTTTGCGCTGGAAACTCAGTCTGCAAACTCTTTGTTGCTTGTTTTTCTGAGCGGGGGTCGGATGGTTCCAATTGGTGGTATGGGTTGGTGAGGGTTTGACATCCCAATTGAAGCCTAAATCGGTAGCTACCTTATATCAAATCAAAGTCCAAGCAGGGAAGCTGCAGGGTGCTAGGCTTTGTATGAGCTGCCTCTTGACACGGTCTCTTGTTTTTGCGGCCGGAAGTAAGGTTCAGCGTTTGCCCTCAAAACAGTCACATGGGTGTGTCTCAAAATATGGATGTGGGCCCCCACAATGCTGGTTTGTTCTTTTAGTTTCCTTTTAAACCAACCCAACCAGACAGACCCCCATGGGTGGCTCGTCCTTGTGTGGCTACCCTTTGGGTGTGCTTGAAGAAAGGAGTCCACCCAAAGGGTAACGTGGACTCAGCCCCAACCATGGGATTCATCTAGGGTTTGAAGGGTGTCAATCAGCTCCAAGGGCATGGCTGGTCATTGGTGTGACCTTTTTCATGCCTTCCATTTTGCTGAAATGAATATGTTTAATGTTCCCCTGTTGGTTTCAAAGGGAATCGATTTTACTTTTCAGGGGGCGAGAACGCAAATGGAAGATTCGGATTTGCCATTTTCCGCCAAGCAAGGGTCTAGCGTTCGGAGCAACCCACAATTGGCGGGGTCTGTTTTAGTCCGCCTCGTCTCAGGTGACGAGGATGTGGCTGCAGTGCGCATTCTGCAGGTAGGCTCACGGGCTGTCTGAAAGGGAACGCACATCACTGGAACTCAAAACCCGGGTAGATGAAGCTTAGTAAGGGACGATCCCAACAAGATAAATAGGTGCGGCCGCCTTCTTACTTCTTTCTTTACATATGGAATCCTGGTAAGTGGAAACATGGACCAAAACCTGCGGTTTGCCCCTCCTGTTTAATTTTGAGCCACACCCATATTTCTGGGTTGACCTTTTTTGTGCCGGGTTTTGAGTATGACTCATGTGGGACTCCTTGCTGGCGATTTGGTTGGACTTTATGTGTTGGGGAATCCGGGGGTTTTTAATTGGACCCAGAAGAAGCCAAGCTTTTAGAGGGGTCAACAGCAACCAAGCTTGCGTGAGGCACATGTTTCCTTTGCACAGAATTTGGAGAAGCATCCCTAAGCATCAACCCCAGCAAACACGGGAACTCTTGTATTTGCGGTTGAAACATCAACTGGAAATGCCACTTTTTGATAAGTTTCTTTTTGGGGGTGATTTGGAGAAACATCTGGGGCCCTGATTGAAGTCTATTTTTAGCACAGCTTCCGCATACAAATGCCACCCTGCATTTTGTTCGGGGCGCCAAACAATGCCAAGCTGTCGCCCTTTCTTCCTGGTTTCCATTCAACAAGAACGGCTCCAATCATTTGGCCCCCCCCTCCCCACACGTCCCCACACCTTCCCCTCAGCCGTGGCCCCCCCCCCCATCCCCCCCTCGGCGAGGCGGCGGGCTTCGACTGCGCGCAGCTCCTCTCGCTGGGCCACGGCGCCGCGGCGCTGCGGCGGAGCGGCGTCGCCGCCGCGGAGCTGCGGAGCTGCGGGGTGGACCTCGCAGGAAGTCGCGTCGCGCGCGAGTCGCGAGTGAGTTGCTCGGGTTTTCGACGGCGATCTGATCTCTGAGCTTTTTTAACTTGGATGTCCATCATGGCTCCTTTTCTGGGGTGTCCTGTTGTTCGAACCTTTGGTTTCCCAGATTTTTTTTTGGGGGGGGGTCCCATGTTTAGCGGCCCCCAAAGGTGATCGATCACCTTTCATTGGCTGCATTAGGCAACCGGAGCAATCGAGTCCGAGTCAGGCCGGTGATGCGGCCAGCCAGGCGAAAAACCCAGACCTGGCCAACCAGGGGCCCCAACCAACCCCAACCCGGAAAGCTCCTGTTGCCAAAGGATCAGATTTAATTGGGCGGAGGCGTTATGTTCTTTTGACAGCTGGAAAAGACAGAAATGCGCCACGGCTAGTGACCTGTTGTTGGTTGTTTGCCTCATTTGGCTGTGGACTCTTTCCTCAGACCTACTGTGGATGGATGAACTCCTGCACCAGAAAAGAACCATGGTTGAAGCCAAAACGGTTGCCGGTATTTACGTACGGGAATCGAAACATTCCGTTGGGTTTCTTAGGTAAATCATGGTGCCTGGAGTGTCCATGACCCTTAAAACATGGGGCCATTACCCAAAAAAATGGGATCATGGACCATTTTTCAAGGGTCATGGAGACTTCAGGTGGTTTCATTCCCATAGTTCTGAGGTGGTGCCTTGGATGGATGAATCGCCACCATCCCCATCCATCTCTCGACTCAAGGGACCGCTTTCCAGGACTCTACGGCGTGGGGTACTCGGCCAAGGAGCTCCTGCAGTGTGGCGTCTGGGCGAGCGAGGGGTTTAGCCGGAAAAACCGGGGCTCGGCGACTCAAAGCGCATCGGCCTGAAATGACCGTTTTGGGTGTTCCCAATTTGGCATCAGCTTGCATGTATGGGTCCTGAAAGGCAACTGAGCCTTAGCTTCTTTTGTTTTTTCTCTGTGGTTGGTTTAGTGGGCGGTGGGGGGGGGGTCCACTTAACCCAGCAAGAGTTAGACTTTTAGCAAGGGATCAGTTGTCATAAAAAGTATAAAGAGTTGGAGCGGCGCGGTTTGTGGTTCTGGAGTCGGGTGCTGGAAGCACTTTAAGTGACTATTTCTTCTCAAGCACTCATGGAAGTGGGTTGCCGTGGGACTTTATGTTTCTTCCCCAGAAGGAAAGCTTGTGCGTTGAACATCCCCAGCGCCCGTTTTTCCCGATCCGCGCTTCAGCCTGAATGACTTATGAGAAATCGCCCCAAGCGAAGTAATTTCACTTTTTGCGGGGATTCTTTGTACCTGGAGTCTCCATGACCCTTTAAAAATGGTTGGTCATGACCCAAAATAATGGTTGGTCATGGACCCATTTTTAAATGGTCGGAAGGAGATTCCCTGTAGAATTACCGAACATCTTAGCCATGGCCACTGGAGGTCCGAGCACGGGTGTGACCTTTTTGGCTTTCTGGGAGTTGCTCGGGCGAAAGGATTTTTTTAGAATGTCGGGATGCCCAACTTCGACTTGTTGGCTTGGGCATTCTTTGGTTTTGCAAGTGGAGCTGAATGTCGTTTTTGATTTTCAGGGTGTCTTGTCAAATCGGAAAGGGTTTTTGAAGGAAAATTCTCAAACCGTTGGGCTTATGAAGTCAAGGGCATCATGCTTCAGAAGAGTATACCTGGAGTCTCCGGATGACCCGAATCAAAAATGGTTGGTCATTACCCAAAATAATGGGTGGTCATGGACCCATTTTTCAAGGCTCAGAAGGAGACTCCAGGTATAATATATATATATATATATAGATATATACGTCTGTATATTCGTCCATGAACCCAGGAAGGTTCATGTGGCAGAACAGGAACTCCACAGTCAGGGTGATGCGTTCGCTGTCATTTTATCGAGCAGTTTCCTCTGGTGCATTTATGCAGGTAACCGTTAGTTGGTGGTTTGGTTTGGCTTGGTGTAGAGGGATGGGCCACCCCACCAAACCACCGGGCTCCAGCCAAAAACGAGGGACCACCCTAGGGTCCATGTTTGGCCATGGGTGCAAATGGACCCTTCAGCGCTGGGAAGCTGAGGTACGGCCATGATTGTTTTGGGCTGGCGCTCGAAGGCCGGGACGCCTCGAAGCCAATCCGAGGCTACACTCCGCTGGAGTTGAAGCAGGTGGGCGTGACAGGCGCTGAGCTGAAGGACCCAACACCTGGGATGGGTTCCATGCCTGGATCTCCGGATCTGACCCGAATCAAAAATGGGCCCATGACCAACCATTTTTTTAGGGTCATGGACCACCCATTTTTAAAGGGTCAGATCCGGAGACTCCGGGTGGTTCTTTTTAACCGCCAGCTGTGTTTTTGTTCGGGTTTCTTCCGTGGTGAACCTGAAAAGAAGGATCCCTGAAACGAAGGTTGACCCCAGAATCATCAACCAACCAGCTTATTTCAACCCGGGGGGGGGGGGGGGGTGGGTGGAAGAAACACCCTCTAGGTGGTCTGATTCCAACCGCATTTCGTCCAGAAATGGCGAGGCGCCGATTTTACTAACTGCTTGGTCGATTAATATGGGGTCAACATTGTAGCTTCTGGCGATTTGGTAGCGTATCTCTGGACTTCTTGGTTGAAAGGGGTAGGATTTTCCGAATTGAACCAGAAAAGTGAGGTGAGGACAAAAAAAGCAAAGACTGTTTGACACAGAGGTCAACACAGTACATGTGTTCCTTTGTGGTCTCAAATACCTGGAGTCTCCTTCTGACCCTTGAAGAATGGGTCCGTGACCAACCATTATGTTGGGTAATGACCAGCCATTTTTCATTCGGGTCAGATCCGGAGACTCCAGGTACACATTTGCTCGCATAGACTCAACGGATCAGCTCAAAATCTGCGGGCACTGCGCTGCGCTCATGGCAAACCGCGACGCTGTGAACTGAGAATGGGAACCCAGTTGGCTGGTTGTCAAAAGCCATTTTGGGATACCATCTTGGGGTAGGTGAATTCACCACCCGTTTTAGAACCTATTTTAGTGGTTGGATTGGTTGATGTTCACTGGTACAGGTCTGGGGGTACGGGCTTTTGACCCACCAGTTGAATAGGCAAAAAGGCGGATGAACAAAAAACAACACATGCGATCCGGTGTGTTAGAGAGATCTTTGTGGCTGTCCGCCCGACAGCTTTACCCATCCAGAACTTGGAGGGCATTGTTTGTTTTTCCCGCTCGGCAGAGCGTTTTTCCCCCTGCAGCCGTTTCGGCACGAGCGCCATTTTCAGAAGCCTCCCGCAGTTTGGCGAGGAGTTTCTCGGCGCCATGGGCTGCAGTTCCAGCACTCAAGAAGTCGTGGGTCACACCACTTTCCGGGTGGAGGATGACGGGGTCAAGCGGACTCACGTCACTCACTTGCAAAGCGAATCGACCTGACATGACCTGTGGGGTTGGCCATTTTTCGGTTTTCCCATGCTTCCCAGGTTTGACACCCCCTGTTTTTTCCCATTCTGGTCCGTTTTTTTTTTTTTTTTTTTCTCGTAAAGGTGCCAGAAGGTGATTTCTCTTTGGGTCGCTGAGGCTGAGGTCAATGTGACCCATGTGGAGTCAGAGCTGAGCTTTCATTCCATGGAGTGCAACGAGCCCTTCGCCAACGCGCCCCCGCTGGCGACCACACACCGCCAGCACATGGCGAGGCTCAACTACTTCTTGGGACGCGTCAAGGCGGGTGAACCTTTCTGAAAGCCATCGCCCCGAAGGTTGACCCCATATATTCATGAGCCACAGTTTATTTATAGGGTCCCCTCGCAGCTTTAACCGTGCATGGTTGTTGTTGGGAAACGTTTTACATGTTTTGCTTATTGTGGTTTAGTGGTTGAAATCCACATAACTGCTAAGTTTTGATAATGTTTGCTCCCTTCCAAAGTCAACCAAGAGAAGTCAGTTATCCACAGGTATCCCAGTAATAACCAGGGTAACAAGCCGCGTACTAAGCAATTCGAACCCCGGACTGCAGTTTATGACTGCAGGTTGCTTTAACAGTGGTCGTTTCACGGTTCAACTTGCAGGCCAATAGACCGGGCCTCCAGGAGGAGGTGAAGCAACGCCGGTCACATCTGCACCCGAACTAGCTGCATGCTGTAGCAAGACGACGGCTGTTTCCACTTGCCCAAAAGCGAATCCACCTTTTCACCTTCATCGGAAACCCCAGTGTCGGTCCACATTTAGTCAAGGTCACAAAAGGCTAACCTTTTGTTTTAACCAGGTCGTTTGGGCAAGTGAGCTCAACATGTTGAATCGCAATTTTCTTCGGATCGGGCGTGGCTTGGAAGGCTTGGTCACCATGCCAACCAGCAAAGAGTATTCCTCGCCTTCCAGGTCTTCGCTCTCAATTTTTATACATCATCATGAGCTGTTTCAATCAAGTTTGCTTTAGGCCCGCCGGTGGATCCTGCGATCGCTGCGATGACAATTCAGGGGGCCTTCAGGGGAATTTCTGGAGCTCTCAACCTGCAAACTTAATAACCACATGCATGTGGAATTATCATTCCGGTCTGAACAATTTCCACCATTCTAATGTGTCCAATTCCGAAAGTGAACCTCCAGAGAGATGGACCCAAACAAGGTACCCAGGAGAACAAAACCGTGAACACATCTATGCTGGGGGGGATGCATCTGGCAGCTTCTTAAAAACAAAATGTGAAGTGTGGCTCCAAGCCCTTAAACCTGCCATCCAACTGATATGTTTTCCTGGAAAGAAGGTTTCTATCTGAGAGAATTGCATCTCAACCCCACCCACCCCCAATTAAAAGGCCAAAGATACTCCAGCTGATTCAGGCCATGATGGCTTTCTAAGTCAGTTCCTTTGCCCAAAGGCGTGGAGCGAGGACTGCGATTTCCAACAGGGTTGGACAAGAGTCAATATTGCTTTTTCCAAACAACAAGAATGTATACGCCATTGTGAAATCAACCGCCCCGGTCGTTTCTCTTAAGCGGGAAGCCGGGGCTTGGTTGTGCAAGTTGTCCAACCCCGACGAGCGGATCCATGCGAGCGTTCATGGTTTAGCTGCAAGCGGATCCATAGCGCCAAGATGCCGCCCAAAGCGACCGGAACACGAAGGGTTCCACTCGAACCCCAGAAAATGATCTGGGCCACCACGAGCTTTGGAAAATGAGCGATACTCACTGCAGGTGTTTGCTTGGGATGTCCAATGCAGCACAGGTTTGAGACGAGTGGAATGGGACACTTCCCACAACTTGTTCAGTGTTCATAAAAGACTCAGGTGTTTAAATCATTTAGCCCCTCTTATCAACTAATCAGCAGATTCAATCATGAAGATCGATCATAGGCTCGTGAAGTGGGTGTGTGAACTTCCATTTGCTTAAGAGCATGTTTTGTTTTCCCCTGCTGGTTTTGAAGGGAACCTATCACTGGACTTTTCATTTTGTGGACTTAAGCAACTGGAAGTAGACCACTACAGGGTCTGAACCCCCTCGAAGTTTTGGGGTAGCTGGCCCCATGGAAAATCCACCGCAGGAGATCGGCTGCAGCGCGCGGCTTCTGCGGGACTTGGGCTTCCAGGCAAGTTGAGTCGCGAGTGCAGATGGATTCCACAAAGACCATGTTGTTTTTTTTTGTGTTTTTTTTTTTAATATTATTAACCAGGCTCCCGCCTGCTGCCGCCGACCCTCGGCGGATTTGCAGAGAGAACCCCAGGGGGGCATGCGGCGCAAACCGGATTAACGGACAGGTCGGAAAGATGGCCGCTCGTCCGTTAATTGCCGCGCGGGCCGGTTTCTGCGCCTGGGACCAGCCTGGACTGGGGGGACCCAGTCCAGGCTGGTCCCAGGAGCCCGTGCGTCCCTTAATCTGCGCGGGGCTGGTTTGCGTCGTTCAAGGTGCGTCGACTTGGCCCTGGAGGCCGAAAGAGCGGAGGAAACAGGTGTCCAGAGCGGCGTGGATGGATCCGACACCAGCAGTCGCACCAGGAGGCGAGCCCGAGCCCCGGCGAGGACTGGCCAGGACAGGTGCCTGTCCCAGGACCGGTCCCAGGACCGGTCCCAGGACCGGTCCCAGGACCGGTCCCAGGACCAGGACCGGTCCCAGCACCGGTCCAGGACCGGACCGGGTCCCAGGACTGGTCCCAGCACCGGTCCCAGGACCGGTCCCAGGACCGGTCCCAGGACCGGTCCCAGGACCGGTCCCAGGACCGGTCCTGGGACCAGTCCCGGGACCAGTCCCAGGACCGGTCCCGGACCGGTCCCAGGACCGTTTTGGCTGTGCGCAAGCAGCACAAGGGTGCCAGGACCGGTCCCAGGACCGGTCCCAGGACCGGTCCCAGGACCGGTCCCAGGACCGTTTTGGACCGGTGTGCGCAAGCAGCACAAGGGTGCCAGGACCGGTCCCAGGACCGGTCCCAGGACCGGTCCCAGGACCGGTCCCAGGACTGGTCCCAGGACCGGTCCCAGGACTGGTCCCAGGACCAGTCCCGGGACTCCACTTTTTGTAGGTTTGGGTGTGTCCCCCAGGGACCATCATGGATTCCAATCACTTCCAGTTGCATCCCACGCCGGTCCCCTCTGCAAGAGGCTGGGACAGGAGGCAGAGGGTCGGCGGATTTTAATATATGTATATGTGGTCAGCCCCCCCCCCATGAACTATCTTTCCTTCTTTCTTCATAAAATTACTGCAAAACCACAGTGTTTTTGATATGCGTGTATATATATATATATATGTCTTTGCAATTGTCCAGTAGCTGCTCGTGTTTCGAGTTATAGAACTCTTGTGTCATCGAAGCTCTATGGTTTACACAACAACAAGTCACCGAAGTGTTTCCCCTCTTGGTCTTTCCAGCAATGGAAGTGGGTTCCAGGGGCTTCCCCAAAAGGAAGGCAGTCTTATACCCCTCTGACCGTCAGGTTCGATGAGAGGGAGGACAATGGGCTTTCAAAATCCATCGTTTAAACAACCTAAGGGTAAGCCTTGAACTGCTTGCCCCCACCGTCCCCGGCCCTTTGGGCCTGGTGGCTGTTTCTGCACGGCAGGAACTTGGACCCTTCGGGCCTTTTGGGCCGAGTCTGGAGATGACCTTGAAGGGGAAAGGAATCCTCGAGGGTTTGGTTTCTTCACCTAAACGCCTCATGGAGTCCTTCTAAAGTTTTACATATCTTCCTCGAATTGGGAATATGTGAGCCACAATCAAAACCCGGGTAGATGAAGGTTAGTAAGGGGCAGTCCCAGCCAGACATAGTTGCGGCCGCCTTCTTAATTCTTTACATGGTTCTGGGTAGACCATTTTTTATACCAGGTTTTGATTGTGACTCATTTGAGCTAGGCTGCATCCAATTGCAGCGGCAAGCACTTGCTAAAACCGGCTCGCTGGAATTGCTCAGATTGATTCCCACGCTTCATTGGTTCCCTTTTACCGGGGCCTTGCTAAATCTGATGCCCTGGTTCCATATCTCACTCGTTCAATGCGAATCCACCTGAAATGTTGTTTTTTGGTTTCCCCTTGGTCCATGTTTAGTCATGGCCCCACAAGGTGATCGCCTTTTATTTCTGGGTCCTTGAGTCAAGTGAGATTTTATGCCTCCTGTTGGTTTTTCGTGGTGACCAGAGGTTTGCCGAAACAACGTGTGCCTGACCCCTTTTGCCACCCAAGAGGCTCAAGCTGCGAAACATAGACGCTGATTTGCCGAAGGGGCAGCTTAATGAATTTGATAAGCAAGTCTGTTTGGCCGTCCTCAGATTGATGACATGTTTCTGGATGGCGACTGAACAGCTATTTAGATTCAGCCAGTGGAATCACGAAATGACACCAGAGAACAAAACGGCAATGGTACCTTTTGGTTTCACTTAAAACCAACCCAAAAGAGGTTCCCCAAAAAAGACGAGCCACCCGCATATTGGTAGTATAGAAGTTCACTGAAGAGGAGATCTGCTCACAGATCCCCGCAAGTTTGGTTCCTTTTTGTCCTCGCTTTCTTGGAGGGGGGACCCCTTTCAAAGCGTCAAAGAGTCTGTTTTCCCGTAGCCACAGGTCTGTTGGCAGCTGGATTTTGTTTGTGTGTGGGCGGGCGGGCGGGTGGCTGGGTCGGGGGGGAGATTGCATCAGGCAAAGGAGCCCCAAAATGATTAAAAACAAGCTCTTTTTGGTTTCCGCTGAACCTCAGAAAGAAAAATAACTCCAAAGTCAGATTCACCTCACCTTGCGATTGATCTCAACCATGGGTTACTATTGCCATTTGTTTTTCAGCTGCATCTTCCACAGGTTAGCATGCGTTACTATGGGTTATCATGGGTTACCATATCCAGTTTTCTGCAGCAGCTAAAGGCCCAACACATTGTTGCAGGTCCCAGCCATCCCCACAAAAACAGTGGACACCACCTATGTTCCAGGTTTTTTTCCTCTTCCGCTTTTGGCAGAGAAGGATTAAAGAGAATTGCTCCATGGGGGGAGGCGCTGCCGTGGTATTGTGTTGTGTCACGCCCTAAACCCTAAACCCTAAACCCTAGGGGAGGGTAGAGCTCGAGATCCCGAAAAAAAAGAAAGAAAAAAGCACATCTTCTGCAGGCTCGGGAGCTGCGGGCCTTCCGGGGCCGCGAGCTGCTGGAGATGGGGCTGGAGCCCAGGGAGCTGCTCCCAAGCCGAAGAGTTTTCTCGTTCGCCTGGGGGTCCTTTGGGGGTTGGACCCACCACCCAATTTTTGTGTATCTATACACACATATATCTATATACTAATATACATATATATATATATATGTGTTCCAGGCCGTGGACCCTCCCCCCCCCAACCCCCGCAACAATTCCCCCCCACCTATTTTCAACATTCAAATTCAATCACCCAACCAATCCAACACCAAAAAACACATATTCACATACCCATCTTCATTTCTTACCCCATCTCAACATCACCCTTACACTCATTCAATAACAACAATCATAACTACATACCACCTCAACAAATCCCACCAAAAAAATCCAAGCTACATACCAACATTTTTTCATTCCCAAGATCGCAACCCCAAGATCTCAATAATTTCTCCCTTGATCCAACCTGAGACCCTTTCCCATTTCCAACAAATACGAACAGTCTAAAAAAGAACCCTATGTTCGCCCCGAAAAATGGTTAACCAATGGAAAAGGGAGAATTAAAACCGTTAACCCAAATCTTGAAAACAATCCCAGTAAAATATGGATGGCAAAATGCGGATGGGAAAGGCCTATGTAGGAAAGCACCCCCACGGCTTATATGGGAAAATTAAACTATAATTATAACATATAAGATTTTACATGTTATTATTATAGTATGATTATAATTTCAGTACAGGATAATAATTTAATTGACAAATCTTTCTTCTTTCATACATCATTTTAAAAATAATATTAACATCTCTCACTGTATTCTGAACATTAAACTTTTTACTTTCAATAAATAATTTGATATTTTCTTTAACATCTTCTCCTTTATCTTGACTATAACACAACAACCATAATATATCATCCATCATTCCATATTTTTTCATACTAATTTTAAGAAACTGTTTAACATAATCATAAGGTGGTATTTTATTTACAGTTAGAAATATTAAAATATCATCTTCTACATTTCTATGTCGAATTCTTTTTATTCCCAACAGACATCTGATTAATTCTTGATAATATCTCCAATTTCTACAAATTTTACATAAATCTTCTTCATCCATTGAATAATTAATAATATTATTCACTATTTCATTAGGTAAATTTAATTTATACAATTCCATATTTTCTTTTTTGAAGTGACAACAATCATAGCATTTTTTATTGATATAATTATTGATTTCATCATCGTTCATTTTCCTCTTATTATATTAAGGTAATATTTCTTTAAATACATTTTCAGGGAAACTTTTAAATCAAGCGAATTATAATTACAACATATAAGATCTTACATGTTGTAAGTATAGCAAAACTATGGTATCAAAGGCTTTAATCTATGTATTTCCAGGGGTTGTATTCGTTTCTTCTGTTCCTTCCTTAACTCTTTTGTTGCTTTTACTTTGTCTCTGCATTCCTTACATGTTTTGTAAAATATCTCTTCCATTTTAATTCTGTCATACATTTTGTGAAAGTCCTTTCTTGGCTTTGCTTCGTCGCATTTACTGCAAGGATAAACCATTGTGCATCCTGTTTCTTCTTCATCATCTGTAGAACTCATAATATTAGTTATGCCAATATGTCTTTAAACGGATTTTCAGAGAAACATGTTTTTAATCAAGAATAAACCCCTGTATCTTCATCATAGTCAATTTGATAAAATGTCATAGTTGAAGCCTTCGGTTCTTTAATTTCTTTGTTATTAAGTTTGTTTAAATAAATATTTCTTTTATTTTTATATTCACCATTGGTTCGATCTACTTCCTTACTTTGATAACTGTTTGTTAAAGGTTTCTTCTTTTCCATTTCTTGCAAGATTTCTAAAATATTCTTATTCTGTTCTAAAACCTTGTTCAGTTTTTTAACCATCTTTTCTAATCCTTCATCCATGTAACTATATATATTATATTATAAAATAAAACTTTTAAAACTAAATGTTTAAATTATGTTAAATCTACTCTTTAAACACTAATTTTTCATCATTTGTTTAACAGTTTCCTGAGTTTCCTTATCCCCATTATCGGATGGCGATGCATGTCTTCCCCATTTGATAGCAATATTATGAACATCTGTTTCTAAGTTGATACTGTCTTTAGTTTTATCAATATTCATTTTTTTATCATTTTTACTAATTTTGAAAGTTGTGGGAAAACACGAACATTTACAATTTCCTTTCTTTTGAATTTCTAATTCATTTTTCATTTCTAATATTCTTTTACACATCGGACAAGCAAACTCAATAACTGATGTTTCTTTAACAACTTCTTCTTTGTCTTCATCAGTTGAAGAAACAACTGGTTCAGTCTTATTCTTTTTCTTTCTTCCCATTTATATAATATTTACATTTTTATTTTTGATATATTGTATCACAAACTTAATTAATTCTAAAATAAAATAACATATTTTTTTACATCTATTATCAGTTATAACAACTTGTTCTATATTATCATCAATATAATCGAATAGCTTCTATTCATATAAAATAATAAATATAAAATATTTTCTAAATAACTTTAATATTATTTTATTATGTCAGATGTTCCAATAATAAAGCCAATAAACATAACTGAATATGAATTCAAACAATCTAAATATGAGCACGTGCCAAAATTACCATTTAGAAGTATTATAGTTGCTTCTTCGACAGGTGGCAAAACAGTATTGGTTCAGAACCTTATCTTAAATGTTTATAGAAATTCATTTGCAAGAATATTTATATTTTCCCCCAGCGTTCATAATGACCCAACCTTTACAGAAGTTAAAAAATATATCAGGGATGAATTGCACGTGGATGATGAAAAAGAACAAATTTATTTTGATAATTATAATCCAAGTGATTTAGAAAATGTAATTGAAAGACAGAAGAAAATAATTAATTATATGAAATCTAAAAAGATAAAGAAACTACATTCAATATTAATCGTTATAGACGATCATGCCGACGATCCTAAATTTGTTAGATATAGTAAATTATTACATGGATTATTTACAAGAGGTAGGCACGATGCAGTAAGCGTAATTTGTTCAACACAGAAATATAATGTGTTGGCGCCTATCATTCGTTTAAATGCCAGTTCATTATATATTTTTAGGTTGAAAAATGCCAGTGAATTAATGAGTTTTATTGAAGAAAATAGCGCCATTGTTGACAAACAGCAATTATTAGATATGTATCATCAAGCCGTTAATTTTGCTCCATATTCTTTTTTCTACGTGAATATGAATTCAAAAGACATTAACAACATGTTTCATATCAATTTTGAACAGGCATTTCAAATTACAAATGATGAATAAAGATATTCTAATTTAATATAATATAATAATATGCTAATGAAACTATGTAGATGTGGTGGATTTTATCGTAGAGGTAATTATAATTTTCATACTAATTCTTGGATACATAAACTTTATAAGTGTTAAAAAGACGACCAACAGACGAGGAATTATTAAGATTTCAAAATAATTTTGTTGATGAAGAAGATTTAATAGATGATATGTGTAGCAACGCCTCAACAAAATTACCCGAAAGTGAAATGACAGATTATGATAGTAATTAATAATATTAATGTATGTTAATATTATCAATTTAAATTAACGAAGCATTGCAAAATTGTAAAGCAGGAAGTTTATATATTAATTTGTCAGATTTTTCTTTTTCTAATTTCTCAATTCGTGCCACACATTCTTGAATAGATTTTATTATTAAAGTATCTGCTCTTGTCTTTTCATCTACTCTTAAATTCTTAATGTCTTCCATACTGTTATTTTCATCGTCTTTACTTTGACCAATACCCATTATATATAATATTATTTAGATTTTAATTTTTCAAAATTATCTTTTTGTTTTTCTTCTTCTTCTTCTTCGTCTTCAGTTGGTGCTGGTATTTCTGTTGGACTTTCAGATGAAGAACTATGAACAGTAATAGGTGGAGAACTATGAACACTAATATTTCATTAGAAGAACTACTGCTACCTTGTGCATTTCCTGCTGTTATTTGATTGACTAAATCTGCGATATTTATTGTTGTTGCAATTGCGCTATGTGATAAGTTTAATATTATATCTGCTACTGTAGCGCCGTTGTGTAGCATTATTTCTATCATTTTTGTCAGTTTGAATCTTTTTTCTTCTTCATCGCTGTCCTCCTCGTCTGGTGGTTTCTTTGGCGGTGGTTCTGGTGGTTTGTTGTTGTCAAGCATTGTAGTAAAGGCTGACACCATTGCATCGCGTTGGTTTTTCAATGTTTGTGTTACCTGTGTTCTTGTTGGCTCATTTCTTTTATATGTGTTGTGCCAAAAGTTTTTAAGCATTATTTTAAACATATTGTCTTGGTTTTCCTTTACCTTAAACGCTTCAAATGTCATATTTAATTGCTGATTTGCATCATTGTATAACTTTTCGTCAGTCTCTCTGGTTTCTGTTGCAATTGTATCTGTATTGGTTGCAATGTCAATAAATTCTCTCGGTATGCCTTTTTTCATCATTTTCGGTGGTTGTATTGTTGTTGGTGTGTTTGGTTTTGTTAGGTTATGTATTGAAAAACTGTCGTCGTGATCATAATTATCATTGAACTTCTGCTTCTTTCTTTTCAGTATATTTTTAGTTAATATTATCATTATTATTATTATTTATATTTTTATTTCTTACCTTTACCCTTAAAACTTGCCTTGAGTTCTTCTATTCTACCTCTGCTTAAATTTGCTATCCATCCGCCATTATCAATAGTGTCTAAAATCATATCCACTAAATATTCTTTGTATGTTCTCGCCTTGCCTCTTCCCTTTTGTTTCAATTCTTCTTGTATTTCGCTTTCTTCTGGCACTTGAATTCCTCTTAAATAAAACTGAAATTTAATATCATTTACTGTTAAATTAGGGTTGTCTTTCCAGTAAGCGGGACTAATAGTATTATCTATTGTTGTTTTAAATAATGGCGTCATTGGCAATGGTGGTGGTTGTTGGGCTGTTGAACTTGATGCTCCTGTTGCTTGTTGAACTGG